GTCATTATAAAAGAAGATTTTAGACATTGGATATTTTCAAGTTTCATTGAGATGAGCCTTTAAACATTGTTTATTATTTAATAAATAAATATTTGGTAATAAATTGTTCATATAGTGATAGAGTAAGGTCGTATTAATAGAAAAATACGGGATATGTTGAATTGCTTAATTACAGAAGTTAGATTTGATAATCGCAAAACCGTAAGGCATGGAAATCGTAATATGATATGCCTAGGGTACTTCTAATGTGAAATAACCCATGTTCCCATATCATAGTGAAAATTATTGCTAAAGTATAAATGTTATTGTACAATAACAAAAAGGAAAACCGGAATGAACGTTGAGTGCCTACTTCTGTGATGTTTGATTTCTACTTGAAGACGAGTTCTGGGTACAATGTATCACATACTCATTTTTCGCGCACCCTGGCTGTGTTTGTTTGTATTTAAGAAACATTAAACAAAGTTTTTTAGTTGCAACACTGATATACTTTGCGTTTTCTCAGGGCATCTCATATTAGAAGCACAATTTTTTGACTTTGCGATTTTTGCTCACTTTTTACATTTCTTTAATTTAAAAAAAAAATTTGAATTAAATTTTATATAACATTATCTTAAAGCTTATTAAATTCCTTTCAAAATGATCTATTATTTTTTTAAATTCTGCCCATAGACTTCTAGCATTTATCCAAAATAAACTCGGTATCTCATAATAGGAGCCTTTCTTCTATGTATGTATATATATATATATGTGTGTGTGTGTGTGTGTGTGTGTGTGTAAATATCAAACCCGAGCGACGGAGAAAACTGCGTTTTAACGTTTACTGAGATACAAGTCGAGTCACACACGTGGCTTTCTCCTTTTTTCGGTGAAATATGGTTCTTTGACATATATTTTATATATATATAGCACGCATCTAGGTATACGTCGCAACGTGTACGACTTTTAACCGGTCGGCTTGCACAGTGCAGTGACCCTGCGTGTTGCGCCGCACTGCACTGGACTGCGCTCGGTGCAACCGAGCGCACCGCCGTGTATCGCGCTGTGTATTCAGTACGGACGAGATTGCATTCGAAGAGGAGAGGCATCCTCTGTTTCGTGCCTCGAGACCGCAAAGATTAACGAGCGGTTCGCGGAAAATGGCGGCATAACCATTTGAGCGACTCTTTGTCTCTATTTTACGGTCCGAGCGGAACCATATGAATGCACGCGACATTGAAGTTGTGTTGATAATGCCGCTCGGCGGTGAAGCGCAAATATTCGATGGCACAAGTGGGAAGTAGCATTGTCTCACGCGAGATTGTGACGATAATCAATTCTATCACAGCCGTTAAATCTGACAGAAGAGCCTTTGACTTTATCGTCTAATTGTATTCCTTATATGTATCGCAATTATTTTCAGTAATTTTGTTTTAAAATATATATATATAATTACAGATCTTTGTTAATCAAGTAAATTAATTGAAATAAAAGAGTTACTGTAATCCATGAAAGTATATCAAATCACACGGACAGGGTTGATGGATTCATGAAGTTTAAATGAAAAGACGCAGATAAGAAGTACACCGTGAGAAAAAAAGAAAGAAAGACTATTGTCCCGTTTGTTACGCCGACATCTTACTCAGGAAATGAAAAATTAGGTCACTTGTCCGCCAACGAGTATATCTCGTGTACCGGAAATTATGAAATAATTCTTGCGTCACACAAACGGCATCTTTCGTGTTTGCTGCGTCAGCAAGTAAGAGTTGAGTTTAATTTATCTCACACGGAACGCGAAGAAAAAATTTTGCAATGTCACATATACAAACGTTTTTACCTTTATACAAATTAAAGCAAAAATTATAGTGTAGTGAAATAGGACCTTGCTGATAAAAAAATAATATAAAAGTTGCAAGTTTGAAGAGAACGCCTATTTACGCTTACATCTCGTAACATTAGGCTATATTAAAACGAACATTCCGAAGAAAAACATTCTGTATACTTAAAGAAATATGATCAATGAATAAACTTGTTAATTAATTTTATTACTCTACGATATGTGGAGAAACAACGGATATTCCAATTAGTATAAGTTGGCCCTGCGAAAAATCAGTATGTTGTTACAGTCTGGTTAGTATAATGAAATCATTCGCTATAAATTAAATGAACGTAGCAGCAATTCCATTCAGCGATGGTATCGGGATTGATTCAGTTAAAGATCACGCGAGAGAGGAAAACAGAAGGAAAGGAACGTACATTATATAGCATTGTGCAGCATTTTACTGCCAATCCTAGAAAAGTTTAATAACAACGCAATTATGTATTAATCCTTTTAATACACATAATGGATTCCGCGGGGTTAGTTTTCATCACTTTACAAGTATACAAAAATGATAAAATATAATTCTTATAATTAATATACTTTAATATCATTAGAAAGTTTTTATACAATTGCGTATTAAAAAAATTATGTATAAATGTTATAAATAATTATCTAGTATTTCTAATATTTCAAAAAAAAAAAAGAAAGCATAACACGAATGATCCAATCATGTGTACTAAGAGTTGATGTGATTACTTGAATATATGAAGCTTAAAATGCTGATCGATTCACATAATGAATATCTAATGACAATTATTCGAGACGATGGCTGTCGCTATTTTCATCCTTCTCTCTTCCTATGATTCTTCGTTATATTTTTGTGATCCCTCTCTCTCTCTCTCTTTCTCTCTAATTTTGTTTCTTTTGCAACGTGAAACAAGATACGTGAAAAAAGAATTAATTAAACGCAGCATCATTACGGCGAACTGTCGTGTAGTTTCACCGCAGACACCGCGTAGGTCGGAAAAATAGCTGCTTTTGATTGACAGAATTAGATGAGCGTTCACCGCATGCTATAATTTAATCCGATATTTGCTGATCCGGTTCTTTTAGTAGCGAGAAACGTTACAGGGAAACTGCCGAGTTGTCTAACTGGACGCTAATTAATATGTAGAAATTTATCATAGGATATTGCATCATCGGAATATCCTTCTTTATCATGCACTTTGTAATTTTTCATATATTTTATGTTAATATAATAATTCTATATAAAATGCGAGCGATATAAAAGTTCAATGATAATATTGATAACACTACTGCTCGACATCACTTTGGCCTTAAAGTAAGCAAGGTTGTTTCTGGTAGACTTTGATACGCTTATTACAAATCTGGCTTCAAAAATGTATCACGTCAAGTTTTAGAAGTATTTTAATCTAAAAATGTGTAAAATAAAGTTTTCAGCTATGTTCAACGATCTAGAAAATGTCCAACAATTTTTTCTCAACATCCACGTGAATATTACATTAAAGTATTAAACCTCATCTACAATAGTCGCTTGGGCTGTATCGTATGTCGTGTGAGATTGGACACGTTTAGCATCGTATGAAATCATCTAGAATATCTAGAATCAATATTTTTGCGACCTTGGCTACCCGTGCGACTATTGTAGATAAAGCCTTATTCTTATACTCTTTCTAACGCAATTTATCGCTATAATCCGATTTTTTTCGCTAAGATAGAGCAAATTGAATTTTTTTTATTTTTTAACGCGAGAGAGTATATCTACGTGTAGAGAAAGTATGCGCAGAGAAAGGACTATTAAACAGCTTGAAGAGCTGTAAGAAAAAAAATTCATTTAGGGATTATGCACTACAAATTTGTCTATAGTACGATTTTGGAAAACACAATCTAAGATTCTTTCTACTACTTATAAGTAGGGCTTGGTAAAAAATCATAATAAACGAATTTTTAATGCATTATTCTTTAAATAAATCTTTTTTTTTTTAAACCCAAGTTCTTCTGTATTTAGGAGTCCTTGTACTTTCTCTACATGTAGGTATACTCTTTCGTGTTAAAAAACAAAAAAATTCAATTTGCTTTATCTCGGTGAAAAAGAGTTGGATTGTAGTGATCAAATACGTATTAGCAAGAGTAAGAATAACACTTTAATGTGACATTCATGTGGCTAAAAAAAATAGTTAGTTAATTTTTTAGATCATTAAAAATGGCAGAAAACTTTACTTTTCGCGACTTTAGATTAGAATACCTCAAAAACTTGACGTAATACGACATTTTCGGGATCATATTTGTAATCAACGCATCAAAATCTACTAGAAACAACTTTGTTTATTTTAAGGCCAAAAAAAAGGTTGAAGTTACTGTTTTTTCTAATGTAGAAAAAATAAATAGTTAAATTGTTTGATATTTTGAAAGAATTATTTCATGTAATTTTACTCTTAATCTAACTACCTGAAATTGACAAGAACTTAAGATGTCCGGTTTTGTGCAATATCGTTCCACAATATTTGCTGTCATGACACATGAAAGTAAGGACGAAAAGTGAAACGACGTTGTTGTGTCTCGAAGCGACAGCGAAAACGAATAGAACGACCGTATCAGAACAATAATTTGCCACGACAGTTAATATCAAGCGGGTCTTAAATACAACTGTCATTCATACGTCGCGTCAACAGCTCCATCGATGGTGCAACCCACTATCTTTGGACCATGAATCATTGAATAATTCATAATTTAGGAAGAGGAAGGGATTTGTTAAAGCCTTGGGCATCTTCGGTTTCCTGTTTGGCTCATTCTCGAATAAATGAAAGAGACAGAAGGAGGGAGAAAAAATAACAAAAAAATCCTCTCTTCGATGCGACACACAAAGGTACACCCGCTCCAAAGTAAACGTCGTCGTCGTGATACTCAAAGTTGTCTGACGGGTTTGCGCCAGTACCGGTTACCTATCACACGTTTTCGTTCTTAGGCGATTCGAGGACACACGTGAACCAAATTACGGTCATCCGTCTTTCGTTCTGATGAGCATCTTTTGCACATTGCCTGAATGTCCTGTCAGGAGTGCCAGGACAATTTGCGCGGACAGTTTTGTTTTTCAGAGTTGCGAGGTCATCTACACGTGTTCCTGTGTATCTTTATTTTGGTCATATCTCGTAGTAAATTAATTAGTATAACGGTATTTTTATGAGTATTTTTTCATTACATATGTAGGTTCATGAGTATATTTTATGGGTATATTGTCTTTCGTTATCTTGTTAAAAATTATATTTATGTATACTGCCATACCTATACATAAATTTTTACTTGTTATTATAAAGGTCGCGTTATTTATCAGAAGAAAGAAAATGCTAAGATAATCGTTTCATTCCGATCATGAATTGGTTCGCAAAAAAAAATCAAAAGCCAATGATAAATAGCTGAATATCATAAAATAAAATATGTATATTACATCAATTACGTCACATATACTCTGTAATTTACATACATATGCTATACTTTAATCTGTTAATGAAAATCTCTTATTTCGATCAAGACTTGATGCTAAAAAATATCGGCCCAAATCTACGACGCAATGTTAATTGAAACATTAGGATTTCGTAACAATCGCAAGCGGAAGATTGCGACTGTTATAGAGCTCGTCTTTTTTCTTTGGGGCCTATATTCCTTGACTCTACATTCTGTTGCGAAATTATCAGTTTGATCTAATTTTTCCAATCGTGTCAGTTCTGTTCAGTTCTCTCGACTCTGGTAGTAGATCTAACAGAGCCTTAATCTGTTATATTCTCATGCTGCG